TTGAAGAGGATAACCGGAAGAATAATGGGAAACTCCCAATCATTCATGGCGCCAAGGCCAACGTGGTGGAGCATGCAAAAGGCTCCAAAAATAAAAACAATGGGAAGAGCAAGCTCGGTCCCAAGGGAGGCGTTTCCAAGACAAAGTTCAACGAAAAATGCTTCAATTGCAATAAAAATGGACACAAGTCCTCGGATTGCAAGGCACCAAAGAGGAAGAAAGATTCTCACGTCAACTTGGTGCAAGGTGGGCAAAAGGATGAAGACATCATCCTAGCGGCTGTGGTTACGGAAGTCAACCTCATTGGATCCAATTCCAAGGAGTGGTTTGTGGACACCAGTGCTACCCGACATATTTGCTCCAACCGGGAGTTATTCACAACTTTTGAGCCATCAAATGGTGAGAAGGTGTGGATGGGAAACTCGGCTCATTCCGCGGTGGAAGGTGTGGGCAAGGTGGTCCTGAAGATGACTTCGGGCAAAGAGCTGACTCTTAACCAAGTGCTGTTCGTTCCGGAGATACGCAAAAACCTGATTTCCGGTTCGTTGTTGAACAGCATGGCTTCCGCATGGTTTTTGAGTCGGACAAATTAGTTTTGTCCAAATCGGAATGTATGTGGGCAAGGGATATGCATGTGATGGGCTGTTTAAGCTCAATGTAACGACTATTATTATTAATAATAATAAAACCCCTTCTACTTACTTGCTTGAGTCTTCCAATGTGTGGCATGGTAGACTAGGACATGTTAATTTTAATTCTATACGTAGATTAATTAACATGGAACACATTCCTAAATTCACAATTGATGTGAAGCACAAATGTGATATTTGTGTTGAGGCAAAACTAACGAAAACGTCTTTCAAATCGGTTGAAAGAAAAACGGAACCACTAGAATTAATTCATAGTGACGTTTGTGATTTTAAATCAATACAAACACGTGACGGTAATAAATATTTTATTACTTTTATCGATGATAGCACTTGCTATCGCTATGTTTATTTGTTGAAAACTAAACACGAAGCAATCGATAAATTCATTCTTTATAAAAATGAAGTGGAAAACCAACTTAATCGACGGATTAAAACGGTTAGGAGTGATCGAGGTGGTGAGTATGAAGCACCAATTGGTGACTTTTGCGCGAACGTGGGTATAGTACATGAACGTACCGCACCCTATTCACTTCAATCAGACGGTGTTGCCGAACGAAAGAATCGCACATTGAAAGATATGATGAATGCGATGCTAGTAAGTTCGGGTCTGCCACAAAATGTGGGGCGAAGTAATCTTGACAAGCAATTACCTTTTAAATAAGGTTTCCCGGAAAAAATATGATAAAACTCTGTACGAGTTGTGGAAAGGCAGACGGCCTTCCTATATATCAATATTTAAAAGTGTGGGGGTGTCTTGCTAAGGTGCTTGTACCAACACCTAAGAAAATAAAAATAGGTCCAAAAACGGTGGATTATATTTTTATTGGATATGCACAAAATAGTAGTGCTTATCGGTTTTTAGTGTACGATTCGTATAATCCGGATGTACATAAAAACACAATAATTGAGTCAAGGAATGCATCATTCTTTGAAGACGTATTTCCATACAAGTCTAACGCCCACTACAAGAAAACCACTTTTTAACTAAGAAAATTAGTGACGGGTAAGAAATCCGTCATTAATGGTACTTCTTGTAGACCTTTTGTGAGAGGAAAAATCCTCTAACTAAAATATTCTTTTAATGAGGAGTTTTTTATTTTTACTCTCATTATTGGTAATTGGGAATTTTAAAACCCTCACTATTGCTAATTCAGCGCCTATTCTTGTGCCAAGTAAAAAAAACTTCCGCTAAACAAACAACTCCACAGATCTGCTAAAAAGCAAAACCCTTTCTCTGGAGAACTTTTCAGCCGATTAAAGTAATCTGCCTCGTCGTGAGACCTGCAGCTCTGAATCGCTGTCTCCATTTTCCGTATTGGTATTCATTTTTATATTGTTATTATTATGTTTGCATTTCACTTAAGCGCTTTATTCAATCTTTCATCTGCTAGTTATTTTTATTTGTACATATTTTATGGATTGCAGGTCATGTCTCCTAGTTGAATGTAAATTTTGTAAGACAACCTTGCAATGGTTATAGTGAAGCTTTAGAAAAAAATCCTCAAGGGATGAACACCAAGGATTTGAAGTGGCCTGTTACTAAAATGATTATGACTATATAGTTTCAGGTATGATTGTATGATTGTATCTGGAAGCCTTATTATTATTATTTATATAATGCAAGTCTTCCATATTGCATATATGCTAGGGTACACTATCTCATAGTGCAGTTTCTTGGCTTCCAGGTTTGGATGAAGGAATATAGCAGTGGATATCAACTCTTTGCATTTACCAAATCAAATATTAAATCCCTGCAGCAAATCAAGCATTTTGAACACACTTGTTTGTGTCTTAATCACAAGCAGGTTAGCTAAGCAACCAACCTATTTGTGCAAAGTCTGAATAGTCATACGGTGGTGGATTCTAAAGATTTCAAGTAGCTCTGAAAAGACATTCATTGTGCTGGCTATTTTAGTAGATGCCTTGTATTTATCAAAAGTGTAGCCTTTAAAGGGATTGAGGAATCTTTAATGTATTTTTTTTATGCATTTATGCTCTTGGGGTAAGGCCTCAAGTCCCCCTCTTGTAAAGATTGCGTTTCTTCTTAATACGGAGTAATAATTTGCATATTTAGTTATATATATTATAGAAAGTGTCACTTTTAACAATAATAATCACTAATGACATTGTGACTAACAGTAACCACTAATGAGAGAATTTGGTCATAAAAATAATACTTCGTATATTAGATAGTAATTAGGTGTATTAATGACGGGATTCCCTGTCATAAGTGGTCCGTTTTAATGACGGTAAATGCACTCTCATCACTTACTCATCAATGATAGGAACACATACCGTCACTATATGTTTTTAACCGCGGAAGCAGTAATGACGGAGAGCGACAGTAGATATCCCGTCATTAAACATATTTTATGACAGGATTGTATATTTTAACTACGGGGTATCCTCTCATTATAGACAAGTTTTCTTGTAGTGAACGATGGATCTAGCACGTCAAAACGAACATTTGATGTAGCTATGGAAAATACTAGTGAGGGATCCGGTGAAGAACCTGAACCAGTGAACCCCGACGTAGCAAACGTGCTAGAGTTGAAAAATCCTCCGGACCGGATTTTCTCACATACTTGGTAGAATTTGATTCGAATATTCTAACTTGTATGGTAGAAAATGAACCGGATTTTCTAACATGTTTGGTAGAAAATGAGCCACGGACTAACATAATAATAATTTATAACTAAAATTACAAGTATAGCCTGGACTCAAATTTGTTGGTCTAGTTTGGTCTGGTCTGTTTAACAGTTTAAGTCTTATCTGAACTGCTCTGATCTAGTTGGATAACTGTCTGGTTTCTGTGTATTTTATAACTACAGAAGTCTGGTCCGATTTGATGGGTTAAGTACTTAAGTCTAGTCTAATCTAATTTGATTTAATCTAATCTAATCTAATATGTTTTGATTAAGTAAGACATCTCTCATTTCGCATGAGATGGATGTATGTTGTCATGTAGTTTCATTGATTAGTTTTGTATTTCGGGTGTATTTTGTCTTAGTAAATCATATGTTTGGTTGTTGTTTTTAAGTGGAATGGACTGTGAGTCTGTGATGAGCAGATTTTCTGGTAATTACAGGTTTAGGGCTGTAGATAATGTTGCAGCAGGGGCGTTTACACAAGAGCCGCCACTTGGAGTGGCGGCTTTCATACAGAAGTAGAAGAGACGCCAGTTGGACTGGCGGCTTTTGTGAAGCTATACAAGAGCCGCCACTCCAAGTGGCGGCTTTGCTTAACCGTGGTTAACCCAGCAGTATTTCGGGAATTATTCTTAACCCGGCAGTATTCTGGGAAGGGAAAACTGTCAAATAGGTCCTCGAACTTTCATAAAAAAGTCAATTAAGTCCTTCTATAGGAGACTTTGTCCGGTCTTCGCGATTTGGGGCGGTTCCCGGTGGAATTTTTTGATGAAATTTTTTGAGAATCTTATTCATCAAGCCTAGTTTACCCATACCAAATTTCAACTAAACATTTAATCGGGAAGGCATTCAAATTAATTCGAGAACGCAAAAATGCGCAGTTATCTTTAAGAATTAATTTGAATGTGTTCCCGATTGAATTTTTAGCTGAAATTTGGCATGAGTAAACTAGACTTGGTGAATAAGGTGCTCAAAAAATTTCATCAAAAAATTCCACCGGGAACTGGCCCAAATCGCGACGGCCGGACAGAACCTCCTATAGAAGGACTTAATTGACCTTTTTTTGAAAGTTCAAGGACCTATTTGACAGTTTTCCCTTCTGGGAATTATTTATTTAATTAGCATTATTCCGGGAAAAAACTCGACATTAATCGATAATTATAAGTCTGTAACTAAAAAACAGAATAACTAGTTGATCGAGTAAATGGCCTGAAAATCGTAAGAAAGCATGGTAATAAATCACAATTAAAAAATGAATGGAAATATGGAATTATAAATTTATTATAGTTAAACACCTGGAATCCTTAGGCGGCATATTTGAACCATAGATAATCCCAAATCCAAAAAGTACAGTCTGCAAGCTTCCTACTCCAGAGTAAGAGTTTCAAACTTCTCTAAATTGGAAGAGATGGACTACGCTTTGATATGCAAGATTGCACAAAAACTTTAGGACTTATCTTATTTTTTTTGTTGAGCCTAGAACTCACTTGTGGCTTGCACAATTGCACACACTCAGGGGTGGACCACTGTTAGGGCAGGGGTGGGCTTCAGCCCAGCCCAAAGTTTTTTTAAGTAGTATAGGTATATGTTATACTGTCAGCCCATCCCAAAATTATTTCTTAGCCCAGCCCCAGAGTTAATTCCCAGCCCAGGCGCCCAACCCACAGCCCAATAAACAAATCTGGTCTTCTAATCGTTCTCCACTTCTCGGCCTTCTGACTTACGCGGAGCGAGCGCTGAAAGAGCGATCGATGTGCAAAGAGGGAAAATCGAAGCAGTGAAGCTTGAACCTGCGAGGACGAATTGAACACCAGCCGCGCCGCCGCCCGCCCACCTGCGTCGTCCGCCGTCCCTGCTTCTTATCTGGACTTAGGCAGTCCGCCTTGGCCTCCCTCCAGGACTCCAGCCTCCAGGTTCTCCAAATTCTACTTATCTTTTAGATTTTTATTTGTTATTTTGATTGACTTGGTCTTTTGGTGTTAAATGTTAGATTGTATTTGTGAATTACAGAATTAATGAATTACGAATGTGTTATGTGTTCTACCGTATAACCGTATTATAATGAAGAGTTGTGTATTAATATATTTTTAGCATTTTTAGTTTTCAGGTTAGCAAATCATTTTGATTATTAATAGAATTTTTCAGTACATAATTAAATAGTATTTAATTCATTATTATTTTAAGGGAAATTATCATTCACCTCCCCTGAGGTTTAATGCTGTATCAGTTACACCCCTATAGTTTTAAAAATATGCAGCAACCTCCCTATATTATTTGAGAGTGTTAACTTTAACGGAGGAGTGTTACCTCAAACACCAAATTTAGCATGCCAAATTAAAAACCATCCAAAAAAGCATGATATATTAAAAAACACCCCGCACATGTTTTGAATATTACATATTATACTGCAGAATATACCAAAGTTAATAGTGAGTAACACTCTAAATAATATCCAAAAACAAAATACACAAATTATGCTTGATAATGTAAATATGCAGTATGTAGATGCAAAAGCTTGATCATATACCCATATACTTTTTAACTCTTTTCCCTCTGGTAACACTACTTGATGACACACCCATTTGTGATTGTTTACTTGTTTCAAGTCTTGAAATTGAAGATGATCTCCTCTTCTTTTTACCCTATCACAAGAAAAAAATTGTAAATATAATACAAGTTAAAAGAGCTATTGATACTTTAGTGCTAATAAGAAATTAACTAAGGCTTAATTAACACAATAAAAAGTAACTAATGCTTAATTAAACAGTACCTTGTTGGAAGATTCAGCACCGGGATTAGTTTTTACAGACAATAAACACCGCCTTTTATTGTGCCCTGGCCCTTTACACAGAGAACATTGTAGGGTAAACGATCTATTGAGCTTTTGAGGTTCACTTGCATCTCTCTTCCTTACTATTTTTGGTCTACCGGGCTGCTTCTTTTTTAAAGGGGGCAGCAACTCAACACTTTCATCTTCTGGCCACATGGATTCCCTTGGTATTGGATTGATCTTGATGGCATAAGTGTTCATGTACTTAGATTTTGTCAAGTCTTTATGCAAGAATCATAGTGGATCATCCCTAATGCTGATTATTGCAGCCATAGCATGGCTACACGGTATTCCAGAGCACTGCCACATTCCACAATCACACTTCATTGTCTTCATGTTAACAACTCTCACCAGTGTTTGTTCAAGAATTTCGTATTCATCACCTCCACCACATATTACTCTCATTGTTCTTCCCTTATCTCCATGTCTATCTATTTTTACTTGAACCCTAGGCGGAATATCAGTTTCCCACGCAGAACCTTTTTGTCTCCTATCGCTAACCCTTTCCATTATCATTCTTCTCATATCTTCCATCATTTCAGTTAGCGGTTTACCTCGAATGCATTCTATCCATGAGTTGAATGATTCAGTGCAGTTACTGGTCACAAAATCAACACCAATATCCATTTGAAATGCATGTCTTGACCAATGTTTGGAGGGTATTTCACATAACCATTTCCAGCACTCCACATCAATCGCCTTCAGCTGCACCATTGCCCGATTGAAGTCTTCCAAATTTGCAGATCTTGCAGCTCTCCAAAATAATGATCTTTGTAGAAGACCAGGGTACTTGGACCTCATGTTTGCTTAAACATGTCTTCCACAGTACCTCACAGGAGAATTGGGCCATATCGACTCCAATCCATTTAAAATGCCTTTTTGTCTATCACTCATAAATGTCACAACCCGGTTTTCTGTTGTCTCAAGTGCATCAAGTAAACATTTCAAGAACCAACTCCACGTTTCAGTAGACTCATTTTCACAAACTCCAACTGCAAGTGAAAAAATCCCTTGATTAGCATCAATAGCTACGGCTGCAAGTAATATTCCTCCAAATGGCCCTTTAAGAAAACATCCATCCAAACCAATAAAAGGTCTACACCCAGTCAAGTACCCTTGTTGTTGTGCTTTCAAGCATAAAAAGAATCTCTTGAAATGGAGTAGAAAATCTGCACCAGGAGACCATCCTTGAACTAATGCAGTTGACCCCGGGTTCTTTAGCAGTACAATTTGACAATATTTGCGAATCTTGCGGTAACCTACAACATAATCACTAGAGCACATTTTCTTTACTGCAGCTTTTGCTCTATAAAGTGTTAGATTACTCGCTTCCACGCCTTGCTTTTCCAGCAAAAGGGTTTTCAGCACTTGAATTGGTAGTTCGGGATGCCTCCTTAATAGATCTAAATACTTATTTGCAATCCATTTTGCATCAGCCTCCACATTCTTCTTTGATCTAATACATGTATGTTTTCTAATATACGTCTTCACTTGAAATGTGGTCAAATCTGCGAGTCTTGAGGCGTGAATTCTCCACTTGCAATTTTCTGCGGCACACACACAGGTAACTCCTGATTTCTCATTTTTTATCCTTGAAATGGTCACTCCTTGTATTGCATAGTCTTTGAGTACACTTCTAAACTTATCAACACTATGAACATGTCTCCTCTTTTGAAGAGAACTTTTCCGTCCAAACCTAGCTGCCACATCCTCCCCTTAATATGTCTTTTCACCTTTGAAGCTATGAAATCATCGCCTTCACTGTCAAATTCGGTTTCTGAATTATCATCGCCATCTGATAAGTCCATCATTCTTGCATTATTTGGAAGCTCAATATCTTCATAATGTCTCTCACATTCAGAACCTTCTTTTTCCACCTCAGTAACTTCATTTATATTTATTTCAGCATCCTCATTATCGCTCCAATCAAATTGCTCATTAGGATCATGATCCCAATCTTCAAGGCGAGGTTGCACATGGGCCCCATGGTTTTTTCTATCACCGTACTTGTTGCATATCCCATGAATAGATTGGTCTTCAATATAGCTGTCAAGCTCAACCTCTTCCTCATTAGTCCCTGTATCTGCTCTAGGACCTTGCTCTACATCAGTTTGAAGGAGGCATGTGAAGGGAAAACCAGGATGTTCTATACTAAGTGGCAGCCAGTCAATCTCAAAGTTTACATTTTTCAACCGACGAGCTTCATGGTCATCATAAATACTCAGAAGTTGCCTGTCAGTCAGTATTTCTATCTTCTCATCATTCAAAGGAGATGTTGCGTACACAACATACAACTCACTACCATCTAAACACAAATTCAGCGCCTTGCTTTTCACACAATTAACCATATCGATCAAGCTAGTGTTCTCACTGTCCAAATTCTTAAAGTGATACAAACTCCCATTGCACAAAACTTGGACATTGAAAATTCCCATTCCTAAAAGAGAGAGGAAATGTAAATCAACTTATTAAAATCATTTAATATGAAATATAATGTGTGTGACAAAACATTAATAAATCAAAATTTTCCAATGAATTCGGGAAATAAATAAATTTTCTACTATCAATAAATATAAGTAAACTTTAAGATGAGTAGAGAACTGTGTTAAGCAAATTTTAAAAATTCCCAGCATGCACGGAGTACATTCAAGAACATTCTTTATTGAGAATAATAGCATAAATACATATAAACATTTTTGTCTTTCATAAAATATAATGCGACTTAAAAGATCAGAAGTTAATTAATATCTGGTACTTACTAGCAAAGAACATATCAGTTATTCACCAATATAGTAAGTGTTTTATAAACTCTCTGTTTTATGTGTCACTCTTGTTTTGACTAACCTAGTTAGGAGTATTTTTCTGGAACTTCCTCAAAATCCAGACTATGATGTCAAATATGCTAACAAATTTCTCATCATCAGGAATGACAAAAGGAATTATTCTCAATCAAAAAACTGAAAAAGAAAAGGCAAAGTTTGGAATTAAAAAGTATCAATCCACATTTATCCTTTAACAAATCCATAGTGCTCATTATCTCTAACCTAGTGACGTTGGAGACATTAGAGAAGAATAAGAGTCCAAAAGCATGAGTGCTGGAGGAAAAAACCATATTACATAATTGGCCTCTCAAATACGATAGAATTTATTAGCTTAAAGGAGTAAACATATTTAAGATTCTAATAGATTGAGATAGTGAATCGAACTAATGAAAAGTCATACCTGTTTCTACTGCTACTACAGAAAGAGCATTTTCAGCAATGAAGCATGTGAAGACGGCACTTCGTAACAAAATGGGAGATGATTTTCTTGAAGATTCATGATGATCTACATTGAACGGGATTTGGCCAATAAGATAGATGTAGATTCTATTATTGATGAATTTTATACTTGAAGTCGCGTAGGGCACAACTTAAATGATGTTTTGATGAATATTTAAAGTGTTAATGACTAGACTTATTATTACGTATGTGTATTTCAATTTTTTCCCTAGCCCACCCCATTATAACTTTCTGGATCCGCCCCTGTAACAGTCTGATCCTTCCTCCTCAAAGCTTGATTATAACTTGCTATCTGCGCGCAATTTTTCCTTTACTACTAGTTTAGTTTTGCTTTTGTGAGCTTTTAATAAATGGATTTGGTTTTAAATCTGAATTGTTGGATTCACATTTCCTTACTTTTCATCAGTTGCTGATTTAGTCCGATATACGTTAGCAGATCTTGAAATGGCGACCTTCGAGCTTTATAGGAGATCAACGATTGGTATGTGCTTGACGGAGACGCTAGATGAGATGGTATCCAGTGGCATCCTTAGCCCGGAGCTTGCCATCCAAGTCCTTGTTCAGTTCGACAAGGTATATTGGCATTACAATTGTTATTATGCTTTCTAATCATTCAAAAATATTCATTCTTTGCTAGATAAGCTCGGAATTTATTTACTTTAAATATGCGAAGTGTGCAGTAGCTTGCTTTTGTGCGTGACTGCGTGTTTATGGATGAAGATGTCTGTATGACAGATATCTCCATATTGTCGTGATTTTCTTCTCTTTTAAGTTTAGTATTTCGTTCCTCTTCATTTCATGGCCTATTCGCTAGTGGGTATTTTGATGCAGTCCATGACTGAAGCTTTGGAGTCTCAAGTGAAGAACAAGGTCTCCGTCAAGGTACACTTTAAAATTCAGCCTATACTAGTCAAGGAAAAAAGTCGTGCTGTGACTTTTTTATGGTGGAATTTTTTTATCCATTGTAAATAACAGAAATATAGCATCTTTTTGCTTTCTTTGTTTGCTTTACATGCAATTGTCCTTATCACATTTTATCTGTGTATCGCATAATACATATTGGAGTATGATTTTACAGTCATGTGGCATATTGATCCTAACACAAGATTTCCCTTTTTTGGGTATTAGGGGCATCTTCACACATATCGGTTCTGTGACAATGTTTGGACTTTTATCTTACAAGATGCTGTGTTCAAGAGTGATGAATGCCAGGAGACTGTTGGACACGTTAAGATTGTGGCATGTGATTCAAAGCTTCTCTCCCAGTAGTGAGATACGTTTGCAAATGACGAAAAAGAAAACCATTAAACAGAGTTTTTCAGTTCTGTTGTTTCATAGAAATTCGATACTACTAATGAAGAAATATGAAAAGCTGGGGGTTTCATCTTTTGGCCATATTTCCCAGGCCAGGGATGAAATTGCAATACCTTTCTGTGTCAACCTCGCAAGCCTCTACAATGTTAACTTCACTTCATTCCGCCATAGTCTCCTTTTGTCCCTTTGTACTATATGGCTTAGTTCAAGTGTATCATCCCATGCTTTGGCGTGCTGAATTCTGAACCATTCGCCTTATTTCATGTATTTATTCTCTATTTTAATGAGTGGATGATTGCCATTTCAAGTTAATCGTTTCCCGGACTTGAATTAGTGTCTGGATTTTAGTTTGTCTGACATATTTGCTATCAGGTAAACTTTGTAAATGTCAGTTGATACATAATGTAATTGGAACTGATATCATATTTCTCCGAGCTTTACATTTATTTCTATATTTTAACTTTCAAAATCCGAACTATGTAAAACAAATATTGTATCGACTGACCTGATATTTTAATGGTATTTATTATCACAATTGTACTTACAAATTAAGCCTGACCAGTGACCAGAATCTCTCCCACTAGAATCGTACAGGTAACGTACATGAGACTAGAGAAAACAAGAACGAATGACTACAAAAATATCAAGCAACTAAACTATTATCAAAATTCCTCCATTAGAAATAAAATGTTACATTAAGAAACAGTTTGTACTTAAATAAACAACGCGGAATAATAATAAAAATAGACTCAAGTAGTCATTCAACTAGTAGACTAGTAGTAAACTAGTAACTCTAGAAACATCAAAAGCAGAAAAACGAACAAAGCAAGAAGTGAATATAATGAATAGAATATACGAAGTATACAAATAAACTCAATCGTCACAAATGAACAGAAAATCCAATATCTTTTGCTTAATATAAATAAAATATTGAAAATAAATGAAATGCTTCTTCAAAATCAAACATTAACAATGAAAGGTAAACATAACGTCAAAAGTGACTGATAATATACTAATATTAGAGGTAGAAACAATATGAACATGTTGCATGAGAGAGGTAGAAACATAAATATTAGTAAGCAAAATCTTTCTTCTTATTTGAACGGTTTTATATGGTTACGATAATTTTCTCCACAATGTCAAGAAGAATGTCTAAATGTAGACATTGTGGTTACATTATTACTAAAATTATACAAAAACATGAAAAGAATGAGAAAGAACCTTCAATGACACATCTACATCGTGCACATTATTGCAATGGAGTTGCTCTTATACTAAAAAAATTATTTACAAAAAACTCTTCGTTTTATGGTTCATTTCGGCACATATTTCTATTTCAGATAATTTGCTATTTCCAAAATCTCACGAATGCAATTCATTCTCATTTTTATTTGATCATATTCTCCGAATCTCCGTCCATCCTTTTCATTTTTATTTGATCACATTCTCCTTTCATCAAAACTGATGGATTATATGAACTTCGACCCCCTGGTCTGCCGACTACTGGGCTTGGACAGCGGCCCACACACGTTTAGCGGATATCACTGATATTATTGTACATTATTATTATTGAGATATTCTAGATTGACTTTTTATACTATCATTTCATTTATGTAACCAGGTCTCTCGGGTCCATATTAGAGGCCCAGACCCGGATTTCCCTATATATACTCCCTTATGGGAGGCTTGTAAAGATCAAGAACTCATACATAGTAGTTCATACTCAAGAATCCATTCAATATTATACACATTCTTATTCTCCATTACTCTTCTTGTTCAAAATCTCTCTAGATTATAGGTTATGAGTATCAATTATCCAACAAAAACTATATGGATTTTTTGTCACTTTTAGTCCTCTTCCTATTACTCCGTATGTCATTGACACTTTTAGTACTCTGACCTTGATTTTTTCACTTTTAGTGCTCAACTATTGCGCTAGAGACACTTTTGCTACCCGTCTTCGAAAATTTTCATATTTTGTCTTCCGACTTTCATAAAAGTGACGCATTTGGTCCTTCAACTATTATAAAAATGACATTTTAGTCCTCCACTTATTTTGTCAAAATTGGAATGGAAAGACTAAAAGTGTCAATTTGATAATACTCAGGGGACTAAATATGAAAAAATTGAAGTTGATGAGTAATGGTGTCTCTAGAACAATAATCGAGAACTAAAATTGGAAAAATTAAAAATCGAGTACCAAAAAGGTCAATAAGACATTATTCATTCAGAGGATGGAAAATGGAAAAAAAATCATACGTGTGTGTGTCTGTAATACGCATGTCAGGCATGTGCACAGCACACATAAATACAATTAAATAGACATGAATTAAGTAGTATATACACCAGATTAGTAACATCTCAAATGACTGAAATGAGCTAGTATAATTCAGTTACTCCCTGTTATATTTTGCGTCGACACGGTTTTTATAATTTCATTTGATATCAAATTCCATAATTTAAATTACCTGATTGTTATATATTTTTGAGTGAGAATGGGAAGGAAATAAACGTCATAATAAATAATGTAGAGTCAACTTATATGAAATTTATAATGTGTTAATATGTTATGTATATATACTTTGTCAACTTTCTTTATTAAGTAAACAATTTGTAGTTTCACTTAATTCCTTTTCCTTTATACAAATCCCAACCACACAATTGCTCTTTTAATTATCTATGTGGGTCAAACTTGACAAAGTTTTATGTGACGGATGAAGTATTTTCTTCGTCTGACAATTCCTTAATGTAAGTTGGTTACTAATTTAAAGCTAAATACATTCGTAGTTTCTTAGTTAAAAGTTAACTAAGACGGGTGAGGCATGGGCCTCAGGGCCCCAAAAACGAGAGAAAGTGGCACGGTTATTAATAAACGTGAGTTTATGTGGGACATATTGAATTGATAAAGTAAGAATAAAGTAGGAATGATTTAGAACCACACAAACTTTACCAAATAAGGTATGAGACAATCTTAGTGGGACGGACCAAAATGGTAAAATGGGACAATCATAGCGGGACGGAGGGAGTACAATTTTAGGGCCCCAAAATTTAAGATATTTTTATAGTATACATATGTAGAGAACTTATCTGGTCAGGCGCGCCTGACCATAAATTTTTGAAACGTACTACACATTCTGCACATTCTGATCATAAAGTTGTGGTGTGAATTGTGATTTTTTGTGTTAGAGACTTTAGAAGTAGTTTGTGATTGAATTTAACAGTTAACTATTAATCAATATTCATATACATACGTAGTATGAAATATGCTAACTATTAAAGCAAACAGATCCCTGTCCGCACTCAAATTATTATTATTTTTAAAATTACATATTCAGAAACTACATTAAAATCTTTACAAAGTCTCATACACCTGGATTAAATTTGATTAAAATTTGATACACAAAGTAAGAGATTAAGAGTGATTTGTGTTGACCAAGTGAATAAGAATTCGTACCATCAAATTGGGACGGAGGTAGTATTTGATAACTAATGCACTCTTTTATGTCTTTATATATAAATAACCTTCTGCTAGAGTGATACCAATATAAAAAATATATTTTATATGACTTTCTTAATTCTTAAATCGTAATACTATTATAGGTAGTTGCAGATTTTAGATTGTTAATTTTAACGGTTAACACAAATACAATAATTCACAATAACATTTTTTTAGGAAAAAAATTCACAATAACATTTTAGCACATTCAAAGAATACAATCATTATTAGTCAAAGTCATCACCAGTCAATTGCGAGGTAGCATCGCTGGTTTGAGAGTAACTCTCCTAGGGCCTATCACAAATCCTAGATGCCAGCGGCGGTGAGATTGTATCCTGCTACCCAAACAAACTGATTTCTCTGCTGCTATTTTATTGGAATTTCTAGTCTAACAGTCTGGATTCGCCCTTTGGGCTGAGTTTTTAACTCAACTGATCTCTGGCGTTCAGACCTTTCGGATTCCTCCCCTCTCCAATGGGGAAGGGTAGGACGCATACCCCAATGAAACGTAGTAATCAACCAAAGGCTAAGGTTACAGGAAGTCTACAGGTTGCTGATAACTCTAGAAATACTGGAAAGGATGTATCTATGCTTGAGGCTGAGGAAATCATTGTTGAAGATGATATTGAGGTGATTGATGAACCCCAGGATATAGCTGCAGGATGTGCAGAAGAAGGGAACATATCTAAGGCTGAGGAAACAACAAAGTCTCCTGCTGCACGCCAACTGTTTGATTTAAATACTAAACCAGCTGCAGCAACCAACCCAAAACCGTCGTGGGCAGGGCTATTCAAGGATAATAGGGCACCATCTAAAGGCATGAAGCTGAGGTTTATTGAACCTGAAGGTGATGTTGTAGATTTGCGCGATGACGAACTTGTAAACCTCCACGAAGTATGGGGTTATTGCCTTGTAGGCTTTCTCACTGGTAGATTTCCTGGCATGCATGCAATGAATCTACTCATGGAGTCATGGCATGTTCAATGCAAACTCCTTCCACATGATAAGGGGTGGTTCGTTTTCCAATTTAAAAATGAAGAAGATAGAGCGAAGGTTCTAATGGAGGGGCCATATGCGGTGATGGGCAGGTCCTTAATGCTAAAAAATCTGGCTGAAGGTTTCAGATTCGACGATGAGGAATTCCTTAAGGTCCCTATATGGATAAAATTTCCAAGGCTCCCTTTGGACTGCTATAACGAAAAAGCCATCAGCAAGATAGCTTCAAGAGTTGGTAATCCAATTTTTACTGACGGGGTGACAAATGAGAAAACAAGGGTGCACTTCGCCAGAGCTTTGATAGAGGTTGATATATCTAAACCCCCTCCCCTGTCTATTGATCTTAGACTACGCTCTGGGAGTAGGTTTAAACAATTTGTTATTTATGAGACATTTCCAAACTATTGCTTCCATTGCAAGAAGTTTGGCCATCACCCATTTACCTGTAAGGTGTTGCATGAATTAGAAAGAGAACATAATGGAAATAATAAGGCTCCAGTTAAAGAACCAGAGGAGCAAACTACTAAAGCCCCTAACCTGGTGAAAGGTGCCTGCAATTGTGACAAGGTGCACCCAAATAAGAAGATCCAGGCCACAATTACTGAAGTACATGATAAGGATGCAGTGATTGATTCAATAAGTGGAACGACAGAGAAGGTACAACTGGGTGGTAGCTGTAGTGTGGCGGAAGGTAGGGGGGGTGGAACTCCTCTAAGTGCAAATTGTAGACAAGCTCGGGTAGCCAACAGTTACCAAAGTGCTGGTATAAGGGCTCCAGTACAGAAGCAGGTTGCTGTATTTGGGAAACATGTACCTACAGGAGGAAGTACTGGTGGGCAGAACCAAGCTGACCCCATTGGACAACATAAAAAAGACACGGATAGAGTTACAAAAGGAGTGAGCAATGCAAACTCTGAAATAGCGACTCTCAAACCGGCGAGTCAACATCCTGTGAAAGAAGGGGTTCAGAATGCAACTACTAAACAAAAACAAAACAGTACTAAGGTTGGAAAGAGTGAGGGAGAAGGAGGGAGCCTATCCTC